TTGCTGTGAGTTCGAACCGACTCACCGGCACTTAACAGCAATATTGGTTTATTAAAGATCCCTGGTGGCACACTGGGTAAGGCACTGGACTACTAAATCTTTGAGTCAAAGTCAGCAGTTTGAACCCACCAGCCACTCAATAGGAGAACAATGTGGCAGTCTGCTTCCATAATGGTTACAGCCTCAGAAACCCTACTATTCTGGTCTATTAGGGTCCCTCGGAGTCAGAATCGACTGGACAGCAGTGGGTTTGTTGGTAGTCTATTAAAGAGCGTAAAATAGCAGGATGAACAAATCTGCACTATTGTGAGCATGACCAGAATGTGACCCCGAGACAGGAAATAGGCACCTGCTGTGGAAAAACCTCACTCCCAGGAGTACCTCCGCTGTTTTCTTTTTCTGGACTCCTGCTGTGGTGCAATGGGTCAATGCGCTAGACTGAAAAGTCGGATTGAACTGCACAAGGTCAATGGTTCAAGCTCACCAGCCACTCCTCAGAAGCTCTATCCAGGGTCAGAACTGACTCGATGTCACTTAGCTTACACTTGTTCGACACAAGGTTGCCACAAATCTTCCACTTATAAAACACACTGCATCTGCGGAGCACACTGTAAGCATGTATTCCCATACAAGATTACTTCCATCGATTGCTCTGCCCATGGAAACCAGCATCTTGTCTACCTTTAACCAGGAAGGACTCATGAAGCACCATGTGCCAGCCACTTCCCCTCTCACAGGTCAGAACTCATGAGGCTTCCGCCAGGTGGGGTATGATGAAAGGAGAGGCTGGGAGTGTGGAGTGACGAGTGACGCTGACGACAATACTGCCCATGGCACGTCGTGCTTGTGATGCCTCCAGACAAGTCTTACCTTGGTTCCCAGGGGTCCAGGCAATCCAGGTGGACCACGGAGTCCCTGTAGAATAAAGATAAGGACTGCTGTGGGGTCACAGTGAGCACTGACCAGCCCCCACCGGTCGGGCTCCTAAACTGTCACCCCAGTCCTGGGTGAAGGGCTTGGGTGTGGATTAGAACTCAACCACCTGTGCCCTCCGTCTCTGCCAAGGATGGCAGTGAGCTGTCATCTTTTTGTTAGCTCCACTCTGGCTGCCCCAGGTATGGAAGTCACTGGCATTCCACTTACCGGCTCTCCATCTTTCCCTTTTCCAGATGGCCCAGGAGGCCCAGGGACTCCGGGATCCCCCCTAGGCCCAGCTGGCCCTGGACTCCCGTCATCACCTGCCACTCCCTGGAAAGAAAAATGCACAGTGTCCAGACCTGGGAAAATGTAGGGACTAAACTCTTCAATGGTGGGTGGGTGTGTTCCCAGGGCAGCCCTGTTTCTGAAAGCCCACCCTTTCTGCGGACACAGAAAGGTGGACTGAGGAACATGGGCCGAGGAGCTGGGCAGGATCCGGTGGCTTCAGAGCCCGCCCTCCTGCTCACTGCAGAAAACCCCGCAGGCACGTCTTTATAAGCGCTGCAGTGTCTGCTTGGACTTCTCACCAGGTTTTGCTCCTGCACCCCATCAAGACGGCCCTTTCTGGAACCTTCCAGCATCTCCCTACACCCAACCAACATGGCCCTTTCTGGACCCCACCAGCAATTTCATAATCTGTCCCCTGGCATTCCAAAACCAACCAAATTCCTCCTCAAATACTAGACTTTTAAGAGCTTGGGACCCCACAGTGGAGGAAGAAGGAGCCTGTCTGTGAGAGAGCTGAGCACGCTGCACTTGTGTGTTTGACCATGGAGACCTGAGCCCCTCACGCACGCCAACCCTACCCAAGTGACTGGCCACACTGTAACCTGCTGGCCTCCCAACAGCCTCTGGGGCAGAACAGGTGCAGTCAGATGCACCAAGAACCAGAAACACTGAGAGATGGAGTCTCTCCCTAAGCTCCGGGAAACCCAGATCAGCCCTTGGACTTGGTGAGAGGGAAGAAGAGATGCCAGGGTGTCAGGAATATCACCACTTACAGTAAGTTCCCTGTGACCACAGCCCTGGCTGGTACCACCGCTCCGCCAACAAGAGGTGTTTGGCTCCCCCTACAGGCTGGTGTGGCACCTTCCAGCTAGCAGCCCAACATTTGAACAACTGTAGCCCTGTACTAAGTTAACCCTCAAAAACGGAACCTGTGGTCACTGAGTCAGTTCTACAGGACTTCATAGACTGCCCCGTACGGTCTCCAAGGCACTCATCCCTAAGGAAGCCCATTGCCACATCTTTCTCCTACAGGAAGGTTGAAACTGCTTGTAAACTCGAATCTTTTGATTACCAGCCAAGTGCTTTACCCACAGCACCACCAGGGCTCCTTGAATGCTTGAGGAGTCCTCACAAACCCTACCTCTCTCAGGCACCCTCTTCTAGTTTATTGATGTCCTGCTTACAACAAGCCACCCCGAATTAAACACAGCCCTTCACACATGCTCTATAGTCCAGGTGAAGCAAATCAGGGCCAGGACTTCCAGTCACAAATTCAACGTGTTCTGTGGCACTGTCAGATAAGTACTGGATCACAAGGTTGTTTGAACTGAAAAGGTCGGTGGTTCAAACTCACCAGCCGCTCCTCAGAAACCCTATACAGGGTCACTATGAGTTGGAACCGACTTAACACAACATCAGGGTCCTTTTGTTCCCTAAAACATTTTAGCACCTGCACCACCTAAAGGTTGTCGTTGGTCTTATCAACAATTTGTTGTTTTCAGAGGCTGTCCAGTCAGTGTCACTAACTGAAAACAAATGTTGTCATGCCCACGCCCCAAACCCAGAATGCTGGCCATAGCAGTTTTCTCTCTCGTCCTCTAGGGGGAGCTCTTCATTCACTCCCACCCTGTCTACTTGGAAAGGTTTTGCTGAGTCCTGGGTCCTAGAAGGTCCTCCAAAGCTGAGCACCTCTTTCTTGGCCTCACAAGGTGCTCAGAATGGATGTTTACCTGTAGAGATGGAGACTGCATCTTACCTTCTCTCCGTCTTTCCCAGGAGTCCCTCTGGCGCCAGGGGGGCCCTGAAGAGAGGAATGTGGTTGAACATCAAGACTATCAGTGAACACTAGGACCTCCAGGGAAGGGTAAACAGGCCCCCTTTTAGTCTATGACCATAGACCTACCCCACCACTTCCCATCGGCCCCACCTTGCTGTAGAGATGACTTCCATGCTGAGGTGCCACCCCTCCACCAGCTGGTCACAGGCTTTATACATCAGAGCTCTTCACACACACACCTGGATGCCACCCACATCTTAGTGCCCAGGAGAATATTTAACTTGGCAGCTTGGACCCTGGGAGCCCACAACTATGTCTCCCCAACACTCACCATACTTCCTGGGGGCCCACTAGGACCGGGGGGACCTACAGACCCGGGAGCACCCTGTTTGGAGACATAAGAAGTTTAGAAAGACCGAATGCATTGATTCTAAGATACCCACTTTACCTCCCACTCAATTCACAGCTTGCTGGAATTTCTTCTAACCTGGCACCCCTACATAATATCCAGAACCTTCGTTTGTGTGACGGTTTACGGTACTCTAACTTACTGAGTCTCAAGTGAGGGACAGTGGGAGACAGTGGGGCACATCTGAAGAACTCTAGGAAGATGCATCAGCTGTTGAATGGGCTTTGTGTATGTGTATGTGGCAAGGTGAGGCAGAGATCATGGGCAGGGTCTCAGGTAGGTGTGATCTTTACTCGCAGTGCAGGGTTTAGAGCACACCAGAAATGGAGACCATCGTTTGGATTTGACTTGGGGAAACAACACTTCTTCCTAATGAAGAAGGTCAGCTGGAAGGCCAGGGGCCATCCTTGGAGACAGAGGAGGGCTGGGCAACAGCTGGTGGGTGGGTGGTTGGGGGCATTCCTGGAGAGCCTGAGAGAGGAACAGTTAGGGCGTGGTGGTTACTATCCAGGAGAAGTGAACTGTGTGTCTCAAGGTGTGACAGGTGCCAAACCTTCATGGTCTCTCACTCTGAAGATGCTGGTGCAATTTGTAGAACCAGGGTCGGTGGGAGGGACCAGGGAGTCTGTGTGTGCAGGGGAGTCTGCGTGTGCCTGGGGATGTCTCTGTGGGTAAGTGATACAAAACGTGTATGGAAAATGGATTTAAAAGATAATGGACGTTTCCACTGACTTTTGGAAGCCTTTTGCATTTGAGTGTACCTACATGGGTATGCGGTGTTGTGAGTGTGTGTGTGTGAAAGAGAGAGAGAGAGTGGATGAGTGTGTTACGGTGCGTGGGGTGTGTGCAAGTCTGTAGGTGTATACACAGTGTGTGTGTATGAGACTGTGTGTGATTGAGTGAGTCTCTGTGTGGGTATATACGTGTGAGTGTGTGTGTGTATGTGTGTGACTGAGTCTGTGGGTGCACACACGAGTGTGTATGTGTGTGTGTGTGTGTGTGTGTGTGTGTGTGTGAGAGAGAGAGAGAGAGTCTCTGTGTGGGTGTATACATGTGTGGGGGGTGTGCATGAGTCTGTGAGTATATACGAATGTGTGTGAATGTGTGTGAATGAGAGTGTGTGTGTGTGAGTGAATCTGTGTGTGCGTGTATACACATGTGTGTGTGTGAATGTGTGTGTGTGTGTGTGTGTGTGTGTGAGTGCTGACTTTGGTTGAGAATCTGAGTGTTTCCTGGAGGAAGGAGCTGTGACCTGCCCCTGGAGGTGGATATTCAGGTGGACCATGAGGACAGTCCAGTGGGTCTGTGGCCTGGAGATGGGGAGCAGGACTCCCCAGGACCGAGACTGCTCCCCACCACTATGGCATGTGGTGCATTTTCAAGGTCGGAGCTGCGCTAGTACCCCCAGCCCCACCCTTACCAGTGCCCACACTGGACACTCAATCCTTTGTAGTGGTGCCCTGTGTCCTCAGAGTGAACAGAGACCTGTCTGCTTGTCCTCCCCACTCAACATCACCCCCACCCCCTGGGGACCAATAGACCCAGATGCCAGAGATGAGACTCAACTCCAATTAGTTAGTGGCAAGGTCAAGCCCTCTGGCATCACACCCTCCTCTGGACAATCTGAGGGAGGGGGAGGCAGTGGTGTGTGTCCGTGTGTGTTTCTGCAGGTGTCTGTGTGTCCGGGGTTGACATATACGTGAGTACATCAGAGTGTGTGCTCATGTGTGTGGGCACACTGCGTACCAAAGGCTCTGTGAATCGAGTCTGCATGTCACGTGTTCATGGATGAGCCCTGCAAGGCTTCAAGTGGCCAGAATGATTCAAAAGTGGAGCTGCTGAAAAGACCTCCAAACCCACTGTTATCCAGTCGATTCTGACTCACAGGACAGAGATCTGACCCCTAGGGTTTCTGTGGCTGTAAGTCTGTATGGAAGCAGACTTGCTCCTCAACATGTATGCCTCATCTTGCTCCTGAGGAGTGGCTGCTGGGCTCAAACCGCCCACCTTTCAGTTATTCCCAGGGCTCCCATAGAGCTCAAAGGAGGACATGTTCCTCTACACTCCCCCCAAACCAAACCCACTGCCACCGAGTCAACCCCCACCCTGAGCGAGTCTATAGTACAAAACAGAGCGCCCCCTAGGGGATCTGCTTCAGCAGATCTCTATAGAAGCAGGCTGACTCATCTGTCTCCTGAGGCGTGGCTGCTGGGCTCAAACCGCCGACCTTTCAGTCAGCACCCGAGCACTTCAACCACTGTACCATCCTATAAAAGTCCTCCAGTAGGCCACCAGTGTTGCCCACACATCCTTAGCCCGTTCCTCGTGGTCAGCCCCAGGCCCAGGCCTCTGTGCAATCAGCAGGAGCAGGCAGCCAAGGACTCACCGGGTTTCCAGCTGCTCCGGGTGCCCCACGAGTTCCTTCTTGCCCCTTGGTGCCCTGCATGAAAAATAAGAGGGTTCATGAGAAACGGTGGTCCTTGTCCTCCCCTACCTCCTGGCAGGGTCCTCTTGGAGCACCAGTTCATCAGGGTCAGTTGAAGTGAGCCCAAAGGAAGAGAGTCCACAGCCGTGGAGGAGATTCCCACTCAGTGTTTTGGAGGCAGTAAATCTTTACAGCAATGGAAAGTCTCATCTTTCTCTCATGGAGCAACTGGTGGGTTTGAACTGCCAACCTTATAGTTCACAGCCCAGTGCTTGGCCCACAGTGCCACCAGGCCTCCATGAAAGGCTGGGAGCAGAGTCTAAAGGGTCGAGAAAATCACAAGGCACCAGCTCTTCTGATGCTGCTTCCCAAGTGAATACTCTGGGAGTCATCAACAGCAAAGCACTGGACTCCTAATGGTCAGTGGTTCAAACAGACTTGGTGGCACCTCAGGCGGCAGGCCTGACCATCTGCTTCCACAAGGTCCCTGCCCCATGGAGCAGTTTGGCTCTGCACACACAGGGTTGCCATTAACTGTAATTGACTTGGTGCCAACAACAACACTACATCATCCTCACAAACACCTTCACTGACCCTTCATGGGAATGAGGTCACTGAGGTTGAAAGGGCAGTATGGGATCCCACCAACAGCAAGTGGCCATGCGGCATTTGGACCCAGGACAAGCTCTCCAGCTCTGCGCATCCCAGGGGACCTAGATCATGGCCAAGAGAGACCTACAAGGAGCTAGCAGTGAGAAAAGACAATGGAATCAACACAGTAGTGCACAAAGGAGTCGCTTAACCCAGAGCTGCCTTCCAAGGCTGGGCGGAGGGCTCCACAGACCAGAGGAGGGACAGCAGGTGGGGCTAGAAGCCCCTTTAGTGACATGGGGGTCCATGGCTGGCTGGGGTCCTTGTGAGGGTCTCTGCAGGGGCACAGGAAGCTCCTAGGTCCTCAGGCTCTGTGTGGCAGTGCCCCCTGGTGGACACTCTTGGAATGCTAGGAGGTCAAGGGACAGCAGAGGGAACTTGGGACTTCAGAACCAGAGCAACCCAAGAGAGAGGGTTTCCTTACCGGTGATCCAGGGGGTCCCCGAGGCCCTAGTTCTCCAGGATGGCCTTGTGGTCCCTGTAATGAAACAACCACCAATGAACAGGCTGATGATCCTTTTTGGGCAGATGGGAGGTAGGGGCATGGACAAGCACAGGGGATATTCAGACAGAAGAGGACGGGAGGGCTGCATTCATTTCAGGGCTCCTATGGGGTACAGGGTCGCTATGGGTCGGAACCGACTCGACAGCACTTAACAACAACAACATGGGTGAGCCCAGTGGCTAAGAGCTGCAGCTGGGGGCCCGTGGATGCACCCTGCACAGCTGCCCAGCTGCATGTGGCCTGTGTGAGAGTGGGCACTCACCGGCTCCCCAGGCTGGCCCGCATCGCCTTTCTCTCCTCTGGGTCCCTGCTCTCCCTGTGGGTGAAACAGTACAGAGAAGAACACAGGTAAGCACAGGCCCTGTACCCAGCTCCTGCCACCCCTCCCTCTCCCAACAGGCACCTGTTTCATGTCAAGCCAGAGCAGATCCCTCTGCCCAGCCTCTTCCAGGCCCAACCCTCACACCCTGATCCCTTCTTTCTTGTATAAATGACAAATTTTATGTCGTGCATATACACTGTAGAGCAAGTTTCAGAGTGTCTTCTGCCCTCCATTTTGGTCTTTTCTTTGGTGTCTTCTCGAAGACCTTTTGCTGTCTTCCTGTATGACGTTCTTGCTGTCCTCCCACAGCACTTCGGATTTCGGTCTTTAGTGTCTAATGCATCAAATCTGTTCTTTAGATGTTCTCTAAATTCAGGTGCGATATATTCAAAGTCATAGTTTGGCTCTCATGGACTTGTTTAATTTTCTTCAGCTTCAGCCTGAACTTGAATATGAGCAATTGATGGTCTGCTCCATAATCTGCCCCTGGCCTTGTTTTGACTGATAGATGGAGCTTTTCCATCGTCTCTTTCCACAGATGTAGACAATTTGGTTTCTGTGTATTCCATCTGGTGAGGTCCATGTGTACAGTTGTCTTTTATGGTCATGATAGCGAAACCCAAAGCCTTCCCTGGGCTCAGTATCCCCTTCATAAACCAGGACAGGTATGGAGGGAACCACCTGGAAGACTCCTTTATAGACTGAGGCTGCAGCAGCACTGGACTGTCAGAATGCCTGGTTGGGAACCACCCACTGATCCCCATAACAAGCCCTTCTTGAATTCTGTCTTGTAATTTCTCCAAGCTTGAGGCTACCTGTCCCTCGTTCCTCTAACAAGGGATAGGTATCTTCTCTCATCGGCCTCCATGACACAACCACGAAGACAATGTGCATACACATATAACACATACATCATGCTTAGGCAACTAACAGGCACAAGGAAGACATACCGCTTACAAAAACCTGCATAAGGTGTGCTATCTGTGTAAAGTATGGTACTATCTCCAGACCAGGGAATCTTCAAGTCATCTTGATGTCTGTGCTCTCCCCAGCCATCTATCAATAAGGCCACCTCATGGACTCACAGGGGCTGTGGTCACCAGCCATCTCCACAGTAGCCTCAGTCTTGGATGTGGGAGATGAGGGAGTTAGAGGGCCTTTCTGTCCTGTCTCCCCTATCTATTCTCTTTAATTGTACCACCCATTTTGCTGTTGTTGACCATTGAATTGGTTCTGACCCATACCAACCCTGGATAAGGTTTCTGAGGAATAGCTGGTGGCTTTGAACCACTGACCTTACAGTTATCAGTCCAGTGCTTATCCTAAAGTGCCACACCAGGCTCACTTTGGTGGCTGCATTATGTCAAGTTGGTTCCGACTCACAGTGACCCTGTATAAGGTTTCCAGGGTTTTAATCTTTATGGGAGCAGAAAGCGTCATCTTTTTCCCAAAAGATGTCTGACAGATTCTAACTTCTGACCTTTCGGTTACCAATCCAAATGGACAACCCAATACACTACCAGATCTCCTTTTAGGCCCACTTTGTTGTTGGTGTTGCTAAGTGTTGTGAGTCAATTCTGACTCATAGCAATCTTGTATAGGGTTTCCAAGGAATGCTTGATGAATTTAAACTGCCAACCTTGCTGTTCAAACCGACCCTGAGGTCCAGTGCTTATCCTATGTTACCACATCAGGACTCCAGAGTGCCCTCTAAATCTTCTGCTTCCTCACCTCTTTCAGCTCTGTAGGGAGTAATCAAACAGAGCAACACTTGCCAAGCCCATTAATACAAACCCAGTTGTCATGGTGACAGAGTTAGGCCCTGAGAGTCTGCCAGAGCCCACAATGCTTTTTTTTTGTAGACCCAATTTCCTTTTTTGTGACATAGTCATTTTTTGTGACTTTGCATATGAAAGTGACTCCAACAGGAAGGATCTCACCCAGGAGATCGAATCAGGAGGGCGGCTCAGGCCCCCAGGCAGGCCTGCCAAGTAGAATGTTCTGGAAATGATTATTTACACAGGGGCTGGATGGCTAGGTATGTCTCCAGCAGGTGGCAGCTTGAGGGGCTCAGGGTGGGCATGAGAGAGACCCAGAGGATGCCAGATGAGAAGCACAGTCAAGGTCCTGGAAGAGATGTGTGGAACCGAGGTCCTGAGAGACAAGTAAGGAATGAATGGTGTGAAGGGGCCACCTCCACCTGGGGAAAAGGTGGGTCTGGGACCACAGCATCATCAGTCTTGTCACTGCATTATGACTAACAGGCCAGGACACAATCTGTATCTTCAGAGTAAGACCCTTTGCAAAGTTCTTCACTTTTCTGAGCTTCAGAATTACCATCTGTGAAGTGGGCATGTCAGCAGCTCCACCAAGGATGGCTGGATGAGACAAAGCAAGGCAGATACCTAGCAGTATGCCCAGGGTACTGCACTTGTCAGCTCTTTCCCCCAGCCCTGCTCCTGAGAGGGTGGGAAAGAAGACCATGGTGGCAGCATCAGGAGAACGCTGATAGGAAGTAATTACCTCTGTGGGAGCTAATTTCGAGGCATTCTCTGTCACAAAAAAGCAGATCATTCATGCACTCAATCCTGTGGTTAGTGTTATAATTGAGGAGCTCAGAGAAGAAACAGCGGGTTGGGGTGGGGGGCATTTTCAGGGGGCAGAGGGACTGGATATGGTCCCCATAGCTAAAGCCTCCTTGGTCAGTAGCTAGGAGGCCTTGTGGTTTCTTAGTGGAGAAAACCTAGAGGCCCCCAAACTGTTATTTCCCAGAGGCATCACCCCACAACTCCCCCTGAAGCCCCGCTGTCCTCGCTTACTCGGAAGTTCACTGATTCCTGCTCCTGGATCAGCACCTGTCCCTGCTCCATTCTCTCCCATGGCTGGCTGACTGGTGTGCTGTCAAGTTGATTCTGACTCACATGGACCCTGGACAGAGTTTCTAAGGTTGTTCAACTATATAGGAGCAGAAAACCTCCCCTTTCTCCTATAGAATGGCTGGTGAATTTGAACTGCTGACCTTGTGGTTAGCAGCCCAATGCATAACACACACACAAGGCTACTGAGGCTCCTGCACAGGGCTTTTTAAAGTCTTTTAGGTTTTATCCACTGGATCCAAAAGCACAGGGATGTCAGCTGTGGATGTTTGTGTCTCTTCATTCAAACCTCTGTTGCTCACAGTTGAGCAGCAGGTCGATTCTGGACAACAGAAGATTCACACCCATCAGTACAGAACAGGTGAACGGAGGCACTTTTCCTAGCTCCATGTGCCCAATAGCATAGAGAACACCTGCAAAAAGTGGTTTTCAGAAGACACATTCAGGAAAAGATGAGGAAAAAAAATCCCTTGAAGTTGTAGTGTTGGAAAGCATTTGCTTCAGCCAAATGTTTTTGATTTTATTAAGTGCTGTCAAGTCGGTTCTGACTCATGGAGACCCTGTGTAGGGTTTACGAGGAGCAGCTGGTGAGTTTGAACTGTTGACCTTGTGGTTCAAATCCACCATGAGAAGAGCTAAATACTCTCTCCACAAGCCATGCTTTCCCATCAGGCCATGCCCTCCAACAGACCACGCCCTTCCAAGGCCATTCTTCTTGTTGTTGTTAGGTACCATTGAGTCAGTACCGACTCATAGTGACCCTATGCACAACAGAATAAAACACTGCCAGGTTCTGGGCCAACCTCATAATTGTTGCCACGCTTCAGCCCATTGATGCCAATCCATCTCATTCTTCCTCTTTTTCTCTGACCTTCCACCTTACCAAATATGATATCCTTCTCTAGCGACTGGTCCCTCCTGACAATATATGTGAAGTATGAGAGACGAAGTTTGGCCATTCTGGTCTCCAAGGAGCACTCTGACTGCACTTCTTCCAACACAAATCTGTTGGTTCTTTTGGCAGCCCACAGTACTTTCAATATTCTCCTCCAACAGCATAACTCAAAAGCATCAATTCTTCTATGGTCTTCCTTATTCATTGTCCAGCTTTCACATGCATATGAGGTTATTGAAAATACCATGGCTTGGGTCAGGTGCACCTTAGTCCTCAAGCTGACGTCTTTGCTCTTAACACTTTAAAAAAAGGTCTTGTGCAACAGATTTGCGTAATGCAATACATCATTTCCTTTCTTGACTGCTGCTTCCATGAGTGTTGATAGTTGATCCAAGAAGAATGAAGTCCTTGACAACTTCAATCTTTTCTCCATTGATAAGAATGTTGTTTATTGGTCCAGTGGTGAGGATTTTTGTTTTCTTTACATTGAGATGCAATCCATACCAAAGGCTGTACTCTTCGATCTTCATCAGTAAATGTTTTAAATCCTCTTCACTTTCAGCAAGCAAGGTTGTATCATCTGCATATCGCAGGTTGTTAATGAGTCTTCCTCCAATCCTGATGCCACGTTTTTTCATAGAACACAGCTTCTCAGATTATTTGCTCAGCATACAGGTTGAATAAGTATGGTGACAGACTAAGAATCCAAGGCCATACCCCCCTCCCCCATTGTCATATCTTTTCCATGGTTACAACCCTCTCATGGACTTGCCTCCCCAAGACCACGCCCTCTGACAGGCCACGCCCACCAAAACAGTCACTCCCTTTCCATGACCATGTGGTCTCACATACTTTGGGCATGTTGTCAGGATGTCCCTGAAGAGGACGTTATGACTAGCAAAGTGGACAGTCATAAAAAAAGAAGGCCCTCAATGAGATGGCTTCACACAGTTGCAACAGCAATGTGGCCAAACGTAACAATTGTGAGGAAGATGCAGGATCCCACAGGGTTTAATTTTGTTGTATAAAGGGTCACTATAAGTCAGAACCAACTCACGGGCACCTAACAAGACCTCCTGACAGGCCACACTCCCCACCAACTACGTCTCTCTGCTGACCACACCCTCCCAATGGTCATGCCCTCTCCGACAATCAAGCCCCTCTCTTGGTCAAGCCCTCAGGGATGGCCACACCCACTCCCATTGGTCACTCCCTCTAGGGACTTCTACATCCCGGCTTCTCCTGGTTCTGGCCCCTCAAGGTCCCTCATCTTTTAGATCCCTGTGATCCCAAAATCTACATGTAACTTCTCTCTCTAACTCTTCAGTGCCCTACCACCTCAAATCATTCTCTCTCCTCAGAATCACCAGCAACTCTCCCATCCCCAAACCATGATCAGTTTGGTTCCAAATCAGAGGGTGAGCAGAATTAGGCAATGAGGGGCAGGGCCAGACCATGGGTGGTAGGTCCAGTGTCAGACCCGAGGGACAGAATCTGGGGTCCAGGAATAGGACCAGCTCAGCCAGGCCACTGAGGACAAAGGAGGCCAAGCAGAAGGCAGCCAACCAGGGGCTCATGGATCCTGACAGGAAATCTAAGCATAGTCCCAGAGGCCTACACACAGCCACCCCCCACCCATGGCCAGCTTTGTCTGGAGTGTGGCCAGCTTCAGGAGATGGTGGGTTTAAACTGATAGTGTGAAACACCCAGCTGCCGTGAAGTTCAGTCCAGTGCTGGAGGTCCATGTGTATTAGAGTAGAACTGAGCTCCACAGCGTTTTTAGTTACTGATTCCTCAGAAGTAGATCATCAGGCCTTTATTTCCAGGTATCCCTAGGTGGTCTTGAATCTGTAGATTTTCAGTCAGCAGCCAGGCACATTAACCATTTGCCCAGGAACTGGCTGCTAGCTGTAGGGCCCATGTCCTTTTGTTGGATTTGGTTCCCTAGTCTTCCTTACAACTCTACGTGGTCTGGCCCGTGAGATCAAGGAGCCAGCAGTGTGAGGGAGTCTGGGATAGAACCTGTTTTCTGTCTGTGCTCTTTCTGGCCACACACACACACACACACACACACACACACACACACACATAGACTCACACCTTGGGCTGCAGCAGCCCTCTGTGGTGGCAATGGACACACGCAATAAATCATCTTACAGAAGAAGGTGGTGGCACAGAGAGTGAGAAAAGCAGCCCTGGGACACCTGCCACCCTGTGGCCTTCCTCGGTCATTTATGCATGTCATTGTTGCCTGCCCGCAGCTGAGGGCACGTCTGATACACAAACCCTGAAGATGCTGAACTGCTCAGAACCTCATGTGCCAGAACTAACAGAATCCAGGGAACCCTGCCTGTGTCAGAGTAGAACTGTGCTTTCTGGGTTTGCGATGGCCGAGTGTTCAGAAGCAGATGGCCAGAGCTTTCTCCTGACATGCTTCTAAGTGGGCACAAAGTGCCAACCCAGGGCATTAACTGTGTGCACCTCCCCGGAACTGTTTCAAGCGTGTGTTTGTCAAATTCAGGTAAGTCAGCTGGACCTGGTGTGGTAGAACATTCAGAGGAGAGAATCTGGAAGTGAGAGGGTCTTCTTGGGAGGATACCCCTTGCCCCACCCACATGCCAGTACCAGCAGCCCCAGCTCAGCGCTGGTCCACACACTGAATCCGTTCCCCTGCCCACCACCAGGGAACAGCATGGATACCAAGAGACCTGGCAGTGACCAGCACAGGGGCTGAGGGTCAGACAAGCCCACCCCTTCTCTCAGGGGACCTGGGGCAGCTGTCAGCTGAGGGATTGCTGCTACTCACCGGTATTCTCGGATGTGGTGTGAACAGGGAGGTCTGAAAAGGAAGCAAAGGAAATGAGAAGGACATGGACTTGTGGACAATGATGTTTACAGAACAAAAAATCCGCCTGGCGATTGACCACATGAGAGAAGAGCGCCTCAACGTGCCCCCTCAAAAAAAAAAACTCTGCCGTCAAGTGGATACTGATTCACAGCCAATCTTCAGACAGTGTGGTGGCACTGCAGGATAAGCACTGAATAGTCAGGTCAGTTTGAACTGCAAGGTCAATGGTTCAAACTCACCAGCTGCTCCTCGGAAACCTTACACAGGGTCGTTGGGAGTCGGAACTGACTCGGCAACACTTAACAACAGCAACTACAGGACAGAGTATATCTGCCCCATAGGGTTTCCAGCAGCCACAGCACACTCTTGAATTATTCTTAGTTTTCATAATTAGAATCACGACACAGCCAGGCTAGCCGGTAGACACTGAGGAATCAATGCCACCAAGTCATTTTCCAATGGACAATTACCAATTTGCCACCCACCTAAGGGCATGACATTTCCCTCATGTTTCAGGTTGTTACCCACTTCTAACAAACATTTGAATACCATCAATTCTGACTCTAAGTTTATGACTCCCAGACTCTTCCAGCATCTCTGTCAGATGCTGCTTATCACAGGGACAGGTGTGCATGTGTGGGGAACAGCGAGGCATGAGGTAGTGCGGTGACTTGGATGGAACTGCCTTGGTTCTCCTCCTGGGATCCAGGCTTCAGATGTCCCTGCTTGGGGCAGTCAGACCCACCCACAGGGTCAGGGCCAGGCTTGTGCAGCTGAATGACCCTTCCCTGAAGCCCACTGCTCAAAGTCATAGAAAGCCTCTAAGGGAAAGAAACATTCAAATGAAAAACAGGAAGAAATCTAAAATATGCCCCCACTTATATGATTTTGGGAGTTCTGTGTGGCACTGTAGGTAGGATAAGCACTGAACTGCAAGGTCAATTTGAACCACAAGGTGGTGATTCAAACCCCCCAGCCACTCCTTGGAAACACTATTCAGAGATGTTTATGAATCAGAACCGACTTGAAGGCACTTAACAAGACAACACAGAATTTGGGGGGAATTATATGAATATCAATGGCAGCAATGATTTTTAATTTGTGTTAGTGGGTTCTGACTCATAGTGACCCTTCATAGGGTTTCTAAGGCTGTAAATCTTTACGGGCATAGAAAGCCTCATCTTTCTCCCTGAGAGTAGTTGGTGAACTTGAACTGTCCACCTTGTAGTTAGCAGTCCAGAGCTTTCATTTTCATTTCGTATTGAGTCTTTGCCAGGAACTGGGCTAAGTACTTGGTACTGCTGATACCTATGGAGTCAATTCCAAGTCAAAACAACCCTATAACACAGGGCGGAACTGCCACCCAGGGTCCCCAAGGTAAGAGTCCTACAGAGTACACAGCCTCATCTTTCTCTCATGGAACGGCTGGTGGGTTTGAACCACTGACCTTTCAGTTCGCAGCAGAGCCCTCATCTCTAGGGCTCCTTTTGCACGATATTATTTCAGTTCATTATATTTTTACTTAATTTTTTTTTTTCATATGTGAGCAAATTGAATCTTTATTTCTTTATCTTCTTGCCTTCCTCTTCACCCAAGTTAATGTGTGTCAGCTCTCTAGTTAATGATTTACCCTCTTTTAGAAATTAAATAGCATGACCAAGAACACAATGTTGGTGAATGGTGAGACTGGAATTCGAACCCAGTTCTTTCTGACTTCTCAGCACCAGCTCGCAACACATGTCCTAGGGCCTGCAGAGAGCAGACGAATGAACCAGAATCAAAGCTCATGGCTGGGAATCCCCCCTGCCTTCTTCCCCAGGACAGGCCTCAGTTTCCCCACATACAAAAGCAGAGGTGTGTTCTCAATGCCTCATGCACCTTCTGATAAATAATATTTGTGCTTGCCATATGAAGTTTTCCTTTTGTTTAAGCACAAAGTGCTTCTTAGAGAAACTTCTGAGAGAGTTTTAAGACCTAGGAATGGGGACAAGTTATTGGGAAATGTTACTAAGGAGATATTTATAACCAAGTGTGTGTGTTGGGAGGGGCATACCAATGTCTTAGCAATTCAGAGATAGAAGTTGAGAAACTTACAGTTCCCGGTAATCCAGGGGGACCTGCTGGACCAGCTTCACCCTGGTTGAAGAAATGGAAAATAAATCATCATTAGTCCTCCTGAGGAGTCATGGTATGGCACCATAGGATAAGCATTGGGCTGCTAGCCATGAGGCCAGTGGTTCAAACCCATCATTCACTCCTCAGAAACCCTAGATAGGGTTAGTGTGAGTCAGAAATGACGTAATAGCACTTAGCAACAACAAAAGCATGTCCTTCTGCCACCTCTGCTTACCTGGTGACAGGGATGACAGCACAACCTCTCAACAGGATCACCCACCTGCACCCACACTGATAGGCTGGGCAGATGGTGGATGGATGGACAGATGGATAGACATATGACACACAGATAGACGGATGGATGGACAGACAGATGGCTATATAGATGATACACAATCAGACAGATGGATGGATGGATGGACAGATGGCTAGATAGATGGTACACAATCAGACAGATGGATGGATGGATAGACAGATGGCTAGACAGATCATACATAGATGATGCACAGTCAGATCGATAGATAGCTGGTTAGATAGATGACACACAATCAGACAGACGGATAAATTGATGGACAGATGACTAGATAGATCATACATAGATGATACACAGATCGATAGATAGCTGGTTAGATAGATGACACACAATCAGACAGACGGATAAATTGATGGACAGATGACTAGATAGATCATACATAGATGATACACAAATCGATAGATAGCTGGTCATACATAGATGACATGTAGATGGCACACTGTCAGATTGATCGATGGTTGGACAGATGGATGGGCATAGTGCAATTCACAAAATATCTCACACATCAGGAGACATTATGTCTTCAGAAGTATCTACGTTGTATGTGTAACTGTATACCATGTGAACTGCTGTATGACAACAATGTAAAGTGGTGCATTATCCACTTCCTGCTAATGACACACAGGGTATTGTCTGAGCATCATCACAATCACTGTTGCATCAGACATGCATGATACATGTACCTCTGAGCTTGCCGACCATGTCTGAAGTCCAGCTCCTTTGGAGATTCCAGCAAGCTCGCCCATCAGGCTGTTCCAGGGTCTAAGGGCCAGAACTGCATTCCTGTCACAGTTGAGGGCCCACAGCTGGAACACCTGAGCTGGAAGCCCAACCTCACCATTTGATGTTACAATATTCTACCTCTTTCTGTGTATTTCCCTCATTGCAAAGCAGGGAGGGTAACAATACCTATGCTCACAATGTCTTGTGGGGGTCACCTGGGACAATCTGCAGTGGAGGTTCAACAAGCAGGAAGCTAGAATCACATCTGCCATGAAGTAAATGGGTCATTGAGCTGGTCCCAACAGTAATGTCATCAAGTGGTCACTTTCCAGGTACCACAAGGAAGCCAGGGAAAGGTGTCTGTCCCAATTCTGTTCCTGTCACCATGTCAGGGTGGGGTCTATGGCAAGCTTTCCGTGTTTTGTTATTAAATGGACAGATGGGTGGATACAGTGATTTACAGAGGAATGATAAATCATTACCCAATAGTAAAAAGGTCACGAAGTCCTACTGGTATACTGGTTAAGCATTGGGCTGCTAACCGAAAGGAGTCACTGTTCAAATCCACCAGCCACTTCCTGGGAATAAAATGAGGCAGTCTGCTTCCACAAGGATTCACAGACTTGAAAGACCATATGGAGCCATTCTATCCTGCCCTTTAGGATTGCTATGAGTCCAAATCAACTCAATGGAAATGGATTTGATTTTTGGTTTTGATTCAGATAAAAAGCCACCTTGTTAGCTATTACAATAAAACCTGCAAAAGCTGGAACCTACATAAGGCAGAAACCTGCCAGAGAAGGAAAACACAAATACATTCTGTTTTTCTGGAAGTCTATGGTATCTTTAATATTTTTCAACACCATAACTCAAATGCATCAGTTCTACTGTCTTCCTTATTCATTGCCCAACTTTCACATGCATATGAGGCTATTGAAAATACCATGGCTTGGGTCAAGCACACCTTGGTTCTCAAACTGACATCTTTGCTCCTGAATGCTTTAAAGAGGTCTTGTGCAGCTGATTTGCCTAATGCAATACGTCATTTGATTCTTTGACTGCTGCTTCCGTGAGTGTTGATGGTGCATCCAAGCAAAATGAAGTCATTGACAACTTCAATCTTTTCTCTATTTATCATGACGTTATTTATTGATCCAAGTGGTGAGGATTTTTATTTTTCCTACTTTGAGGCACACATGCTGAAGCATGCTGGTACAATCTAAAATGACCCTGGGGTGGACTCCTTCCCAGTACCTCTGGTAACAGCATGACACAGACACAGACAGGAGTACTGAATGGAAAGACACGCCCTTGGTCTGCCCTGACCACCAAACTCACTCCGGGGTCCACATCCTAATTTATAACATGTTCCATTTATAACATGGAATCTCTGGGTGGTCCAGAGGTTAGCACACTCAGCTGCTAACTGAAAAGGTAGCAGTTCAAGTCCACCCAAAGACACTTCAAGAGAAAGTCCTTATGATCTGTTTTGGAAAAAATCAGCCACTGAAAACCTTAGGGAGCACAGTTCTACTTTGACACTCATGGGGACACCATGGATCTGAGATGACCTATGACAATCATGTTTTGTTTGTCTTCATTTATAACATAGAAGAAGGGACAAAGGAGTCATGACACTCAGGATTGGACTTCCAGCAAGCTCTTTATATTCTTTGAATATCAATTGTTCAATGTTACAGGTCAATCAATGATATCTACCATATAAAGTTCCATTAGTATTCAGAAAGGTATTGGCCATAAGCAAGCCAAACACACAGCACCTGGACCAGGACCGGTATTCAATGAATTTGGAATAAATTAACAAATATGGGGACAGAGATGGCTGGAAGGGTGACTGGAGGGATGAGTGATCTAAATTGGGCACCTTATCTCTTTGAGCTTGAAGCTTATGTCTAACTGATTGTAACCTCAAAAAACTAAAAAAAGAAAGATTGAAGCCACTCAATCTGAAGAAGATACAAATATTTTCTATAGGAAAACTCCTACTTTAGCAAAATGTACTAGGTGAGAACTGAGGACCGGAATGAGAGCGAGTAGCTCCTACCTTGTCACCCCGGCTGCCTTTCAGTCCTGGAAGCCCCAGTTCACCTTTTTCTCCCTGAAGCAAAAGATTAAGTTAGAACACATTAGCACGCACACCGAGTTTCATCCCTGACTCTCCCAGGTAAGACTAATATATTGTTAGGTGCCATCAAGTCACAGCAACCCATGTACAAGAGAATGAAACCCTGTCTGGTCCTCTGCCATCCTCACATTCATTTCTATGGATGAGTCCATTGTTGTAGCCACTGTGTAAGTTCATCTTATTGTGGGTCTTCCTTTTTTTTTTTTTTTAATTTAAACAAATATGCCGTCCTTCTCCAGGGACTTGTCCCTCCTGATTACATGTCCAAAGTACATGAAATGCAGTATTGCTATCCTCCGTTCTAAGGAGCACTCTGGCCGTACTTCTTCCAACACAGGTATGTTTGTTCTTCTGTCAGCCCATGGTACTTTGAACATTCTTCACCAAAAGCATCAGTTCTTCTTCAGTCTTCCTTATTCATCATCCAGCTTTTGAATGCATATGAGCCAATTGCAAATGCCATGCACTATGACCTTGAACAAAATAGAATTTATGTCTCCTCTGCCTTATCACAAAATGACCACCATGAAACCTTAAGGGTGAAGAACCCAGTTCTCTGTTTGGCACCAGAGGACTGTGGGTAATGCCTCCCACCTTCATGTTCCCATCAATTCAACCTGAAGATGAACTGCCCTTTTTAAGAAAGTTCAGTCTTTGTTCCAGCTGATGTATGAAAGCATCAGTGGCCCCTTCTGTTCCTGCTCAGTAAACTTTGGGGCAAAACCTCCTCACTCTAGCTAAACTCACTGTCCAATAAAGGGATTAGAACTCCAGAAGGGGCTGCTTTCTACTTACCTGGTCTCCTTTCTCTCCTCTCACACCTGGGAACCCAGGTAGACCTGCCTCTCCCTGTGAAGACAAAATGGTGGTGGTTCCTATTCACTAAGCATGATTGTTGATAGCCTCCTTTGGGTCACACTTTGGCAATGGGCTCTTCTCCCAAATGTGGCTTAGTGGAAGCCACATGGAAAACAAAGCAATGGAGAAAGGTGAATTCTAGAGAATGTACTCATTGGTGTGTGTGTCCACAAACCAATGAAAAAAGGTAGATTCTAGAATATGCTCATTGGGGTGTGCTCACAAAGCAAAGAAGAATTCTAGAGAATGTGTTCATTGGATTGTGTGTCCACAAAGCAATGAAGAAAGATGGGTTTAAGAATGTGCTCATTGGAGTGTACCCCTCAAAGCAACAGGGAAAGGCGAATTCTAGAATGCACTCGTTGGAGTGGGCTGGATTCTTTCCTCCTCACCTTCTCCCTACTCCTGGAGTTCTTGTTTCAATTCTCTTAATGTCCAACCCCTAATTGTCCCCAAATCTGTCATCCTCACATGACTCTCACCATTCACTGCATCAGTTCAAGTGCTCTTCAACAACCACTTCATCTTGGTTCACTGAAGTCTCAGCGCCCAACATAGCAGCTGATAGATAGCTGATGCCAATAATGGCCGACTGAACAAATAAATGCAGTGAGCTCCCAGAAGACAACAGATGCAAGGCCTAGAGTATCATCATGAAGGGTGAAATGAATGAAGTAAGAACAAACATACCTTCTCTCCAGGCCGGCCTGCCAGTCCCTGCTCCCCAACGTCACCCTGGAAACAGAACAATAGACACGCCCTTATTTCCCATTCCTACTTGCTGAGACGGCTGCTGTGCCCACATATTCACACCATGGGCACAGGAACAGGTCACAGGCTATGAAAACCAAAGTGTTCCAGATTTCTGGAGAAGGAGCTGCACACTCCCTCATACTGCCTTTTGAGCCCCTCAGAGGAAACTGTTTCTGGAGCAACCATGGCAGAGTGAACACAAGTAGAACCCATTTGTTCTGAATCTAAATGCTTATGATTCAAAACCATGAGAAGCCTGAATGGACTACTTCTAGATTGAACTCCCAGTATTGCTACACTTTGGAGCAAGGTGGACTCCGTGATGGCTCTAAGAATGAAGGAGGCATGTGTGGCTGACCTTGTCCATGCTGGCTGGTTCTTTGTAAGTTTTGGTCAAACTATTTTGGTAAGCACAGGCATCCTATTAGTGTTGGAGGTCAAGAAGAGCTTTGTATTCTCTTTCCCAAGTGTTCGGTATGATAAAAGCAAATCTTGGATGAAATGCTGTTAAATATCCACACTGATATTGGAAAGTAAGTCTCCAGGTCCTTACAGCTTGGATCAAGTTTCCTCCTCAGGTATTAGGTTGACTAGCACTTGTGGTCAGGATGAAGTAGAAGACCCAGGGTCTGAGGGGTTCTGCCCTGATCCCATTTAACTGTTGTGTTTACCCAATCCTCCCAAATCTCTGATGCAAAGACAAGACAACAACTTGTCTTGGTAATTCTTAATATCTTTGGTGATAACTTATAGCTAATAGCCATCATGATCTTTAGTAAAACCTTTGGTGTGGACTTCCACGAGGAAATGTGGTTTTCTGATGAGTGGCTGGACACATGAATGTATGAATGAAGGAAGGAGGGAAGGAGGGAGCAAAGGGAAAAGAAGGAAGAAAGGAACCAGCGCAATGGAAGCCCATGATATTACCCCACAGCTGTATGTAGGAGTCCTGGGGTGGTGCTGTGGGTTAATGCGCTGGACTGCAAAGCTGGTTTGAACCACAAGGTTGGTGGTTCAAGCTCACCTCGGGACTGACTCAATAGCACTTAATAATAGCTGTGTACTGGGTTTTCTATGCCAGACTTACATGACACTGAAGGCCCATGTTGCCACCGCCTCTCAGAAAGCAAGGAAAATTTCCAGAAGTATTGTTTAAAGTAAGCACACATTTCATTCCGCAGCCCTGCATCACCAGGGGAGCTGGCATCTGAAGTTAGCACCCATTGAAATTCTAGATGCGCTCCAATTCTCCCATCAATTCCCGATGTTTACAAGCACAATTAGTCAGAATTGCTCTAACCAGAATTGTGCAAATACTTGTCACTCAAATTGTCACTTTGAATCTTCTAGAAGGATATCACATTTGTAGTGGGAATTGCTTCTTACATGCCGAGGAAGGAAGAGGTGTCGAGCGTGTTTAGAATGAATGTTAGAAGGCCACTTGAAGTGCAGCTTGGGTCTGTGCTGTGAAGTCTAATGAACCTTGTGGGGAGATCAGACACTATGTGGGTCTCCTTGAGTCCCTGAGGCATCAATCATCCTGCAACCAGCTCCATTCCCTGAGTGGGCACTCAGAAATCTGCCATTCATAACTTTATGTTTTCATAGAAAGCAATTCTTATCTTCAGTTGGGATTGGTTAAAATAAGAAAACATGACCCCAAGCCAAGTCTTCTCTAGGGTCATGGAATATATTGTAGAAGACCACCATAACTTCAGAATATCCTATTTTTGAACTTTTCAGAGTAATGTTTTCTTAAAAAAAAAAAGCATTAAACATGTACAAAAGTTATTGTGAGATAGAGCAATAGCCTTCACTGGCTGGATAATTCAGTCACTGGGATTCATCAGAAATTTAAAACAGATAGCTGAATGACTAGAGAAACCCCCTAGGATATCTCCAGTTCCATCCCAATGCTTCCCATAACCAATCACCTTCATTTACAGAATGGTGTTCTGGTGAACACCCACTGGAAATAGATTGCTTCTGAAAATTATTGCATAGAATCTTGAAATCTGTGTAGTGTAAGCCCAGCAACAATCGCTAATTCTCAAATTTGAGAAAACACAATTATCAAGAATCATTTACTCCATAAAACCCATGGAATTATGCATGGGAAAGAACAGCAAACATCCAAATGTGTTAAGACTTTTCTAGAAATTAATAAACTTCAACCAACCAATCAACAGTAAAAGGTTGGTTGCTTGCTTTTAAGACCCATGTGATTTACCCATATGTAACCATCACTTCAGGAAATGCATGGGTAGAACCCAGAAAATTGCATAGTGTTAAATTTCAATGATTCGTTGTTAAATGCCATTGAGTTGGCGCTGACTCATAGCCACCCTCTATAGGGTTTCTGGTAGTGTAGTGGTTACAAATCGGGCTGCGAACCACTAGGTCAGCAGTTCAAAACTACCAGCTGTTCTGCAGGAGAAAGATGAGACTTTCTGCTCCTGTAAAGATTTACAGCCTCAGAAACCCTGTACAGGGTCGCTATGAGTCAGAAACGACTCCACGGTGCATAACCACCACCAGCACCATAGGGTTTCTGAGGAGCAGCTGGTGGGTTTGAACCACTGACCTTTTACACTTAGCAGTCCTACAGCACCACACCAGGATCATTATAACTAATTTTAGAAAAAAAATGCAAGCAGCAAGCAAATGAAGAGACTGCTATACTTGTCAGTAGCAACAAGACTCACTATTTTACTAACAAGGAATATGAGAACCTGGGTTTTGAGTCTGAAATCCAGTATATGGGAAGTTTCATAGTGGATAAAATTCAATATGTGAGTTTTTCTGCCCCCTTCTCACCTGGTCTTTTAAAGAACACCTGTTGGTGAAAAAGTGAAACAATAAAATTCTTAAGGATTTTCCCAACAGCACTTTCACTGATCAACACAGTGATTTCCCAAAGGTACTCTTCCAAATGAGACAGTACTCCCTATTTTGTTGAGTCCAAGCCACTCCTATGACCTCGCTGAATTTGTTAATCCATCCCCCATCCAGAACACACTCACCGAGTACCTACTAAGTACCTGAGTCCACACTACAGTGGAAAATGCTCAAATAACTAACACCTGGTCTTGCCATTGGATCATCCATAATCTAGAACTGTGGGAGGAGCGAGGAACAGGAATCTTCATAGAATGTCCTGTGTGGCCACAATGTCCACTGTGACCAGCAGTGCACACTCACACGTGTGCGTGCACACGCACACACACGCACACACACACACGTTTGCACTTGGTTCGGCCCACTCTCTTCATGCTCACTGCATTTTGAGCCCAGAACAAAGTTTAGACATTGAATTGAAGGCCTCCAGGCAACATGAGTCACTACTGGCCACCAGGAAGGCCTGACTGTGAAGCACCTGTGGCTAACTTGGAGCCTGAGTCCAGGGTGACAATCAGTGAAACCCAGCCCACGGGGGTCTCCACACTCATAGGAAGTGCCCAGTCCAAACTCCTAGTTAAATAGTCTTGGTTTCCCCTTTCCAACACACTTGTCATCCACTCCACCTCTCTGAGCTCAAGAAGGTGATGTCAGCTGGGCTTCTTATCTCCCAGCCTTTTGTGGAACACAGAACTGGGGAGAATTGTAGGGGTCTTAGGAAGAGATTGGTGGAATTACCCCACTTGTTACTCTACCACTGGTAGGGTAGACAGTGGCTATCTTATTCTAAGGGGTGGTACTCTCCTCCAGATACACATCTAGTGGCTTCCAGGAACCCTCTTCCTCCCTGTCTTGGATTTAACTGTGCTCCCCCTAAAATATGTGTCAACTTGGCTAGGAGTCTCAGTGGTTTGGCATTTATGCAATGATGTAATGCATGTTTGGCATTTAAATAATGATGTGGTAATTCCCATGATGCGATCTGAAATGATCATCCAATCAATAAGGGTGGAATGCAGCATCCTTGTTCAGGTCACAGCCCTGGTGTGTGGTCTGCTCCACCTCTTACCTTACAAGTGATAAAAGGAGAGAGGAGCAAGCAAAAGAGAAAGCCCTCAGTACAAGCAAGAAAGAAGAGCCGGGAGGAGAGCGCGTCCTTTGGATCTGGGTTCTCTATGCTGAGAACCTCCTAGACTCAGAGGGAGATCGATGCCCAGACACTTGGAGATCCCCAAAGAATACCAGACCCACTGATACTGTAAGGAGTTCAGAGCCTTCCTCCAGAGCCAAGAGAAAATGCAAACCTTCCTGGAGAGCTGACACCCTGAATTCAGCCTTCAAAACTGGGAGAGAATACATTTCTGTTTGCTAAAGCCCTCCCTTTGTGGTATTCTGTTATAGAAACACTAGATAACTAAGCCACCCCCCTTCTTTGGGGGTGGCCATAGCGCTTGACATTCTTGTAGGTGCATCCCATTTCTGGTGGATTCCTGGAAGCCTGCTCATACACTTTCCATGATATTGTTGTTTCCTGACAGGCCTGGCTGATACACACATGACACACAGTGAGCTGAGGTTCTCACACATACGCTCTTCAAATACACCCTGTGGGATGTAATGGGGAAGGAAACAGGGGCCCTACCCGAAGGCCAGGTTTTCCAGCTAGACCATCTTCTCCTCTTTCTCCTGGGTCACCCTGTAAGAAGCACAAGGTAAACTTCATAAGCCTGGTTTAATCATACTTAGAACATGTTACAAAAGAGAGAGCATACCTTGTATACAGGTAGATTTGACCATTTTCCATTCTGTGTAATTGCTTAACCAGCTCATAAAACCAATGGTCAACAAGTCAACTGTGACTCACAGTGCCACCATGTATGTCAGAGTAGAACTGTGCTCCACAGGGTTCTCAGTTGTTGATGTTTCATAAATAGATTCTACTCACGATGCCTTAATGTGTGTATCACAGTAGAACTGTGCTCCACAGAGTTTTCAGTGGATGATTTTTCATAAGTAGATTCCACTCATGGCACCCCCATGTATGTCAGAGTAGAACTGTGCTCCACAGGGTTTTCATTGGATGATTTTTCATAAGTAGATTCCACTCATGGCACCCCCATGTGTGTCAGAGTAGAACTGTGCTCCACAGGGTTTTCATTGGATGATTTTTCATAAGTAGATTCTACTCATGGTGACCTTGTGTGTGTCAGAGTAGAACTGTTCCCACAGGGTTCTCAGTGGATGCGTCTTCATAAGTTGATTCCACTCATGGTGTCCTCGTGTGTGTCAGAGTAGAACTGTGCTCCACAGGGCTTTCAGTGGATGAATTTTCATAAGTAGATTCCACTCATGGTGACCCCGTGTGTGTCAGAGTAGAACTGTGCCCACAGGGTTCGCAGTGGATGTGTTTTCCTAAGTTGATTCCACTCATGGTGTCCTTGTGTGTGTCAGAGTAGAACTGTGTCGAAGGTTCTCTGCGGATGATTTTTCATAAGCAGATTCCACTCTTGGTGCCCTGTGTGTGTCAGAGTAGAACTATGTTCCACAGGGTTTTCAGTGGATAATTTTTTATAAGTAGATTCTACTTATAGTGCCCCCATATGTGTCAGAGTAGAACTGTGCTCCATAGAGTTTTTGAAAGTAGATCCCCAGATCATTTTTCTGAGACAACTCTAGGTGGACTCCCAATGCCAACCTTTTGGTGAACAGTCAAACACATTTAATCAAATCAGCTTAAGTTGTTGTTAAGTTGTTCTTGTCAAGTGGTACTATTGAATAGGTTGTTCTGTAGGGCTTCTAAGAGGCAGCTGGTGGGTTTGAAATAAAAGTATAAATGAGAACAAATGGTGTTCTCTTTTTCAGATTTGGAACAAGATAGATGCTGCAATAGTGTTTTTGAGGATAAAGAATCGTTTATTAGCCATTGCTGTTGAGAGCTAAGAGAGAAGAATGGAGACTACCTCTTTAAAAATGCCTGTAAAAATTAACTGGTGTCCATACTTATTCTATATTTTGTCGTCAAGAAAGCCGGTCTGTTTATTGAAAAGTACAATGAGTTTTCCGTGATATTCATTGTTGTTGTTATTGTTATTTGTTGTTGGATCAGCACCAACTCGTAGCGATCATATGCACAACAGAATGAAACACTGCCTGGTCCAGGGCCAACCTCACAATCATTGATACACTTGAACCCACTGCTGTTGCCACTGTGCCAGTCAATCTCATTGGGGGTCTTCCTGGTTTTTGCTGACCCTTCCCTTTACCAAGCTTGATGCCCTTCTGAAGGGACTGGTCCCTCCTGATAAAATGTCTGAAGTATAAGAGACAAAGTCTGTGCATCCTGGCTTCTAAGGAGCATTCTGGCTGTACTTCTTCCAACACAGATTTATTTGTTCTTTTGGAGGTCCATAGTACTTTCAATATTGTCCTTCAACACCAGAACTCAAATGCATCATTTCCTCTCTGGTTTTCTTTATTCATTGTCCAACTTTCACATGCAAATGAGTCTACTGAAAATACTGTGGCCTGGGTCGAGCTCATCTTAGTCCTCAATCTGACATCTTAATGTTCATATGGGACTTTAATAGTTGTCTTTGAGGAACTGTTGACCTACATGCTTGAAGCTATATATGTACACTGAGAAAAAAAATGAACTTCGTCTATTAAACTATTTGTTGTATAGATTTATATTGTTCATTTGAGGGTATAAGCTGTAGGGTGAGAGGTTGAGTTTGCTTCCCAATTTTATGATAATTAACCTCGATTACCTTAGTGACCCAACTATAATGAACTGCACCATAACATATATAAATATTTAAATTGGAAACCTCTCTTTAAGTTAGTGAGAGTATTTCTAAGTTTTTCCTTCCTGAAAATAAAATAAATTCAAATTTCTAATGGATTCCTTTTAAAACCCAAGGTTTCCATGTGTGACCTAGTAAATCTAAAAGTTTCAATCTAGTTCTGATCCAGGACCCAGGAATTCAACTAATTTTAAAATTTACAAGATATCTCAGATTAACAATGAGTTGTAAATATGTTCCAAATGCATGCTAGTCCTGTGCATACCCACCTTGGGTCCCGGGAGACCTGGAGCCCCATTCAGTCCATCCTTTCCAGGTGGCCCCTGTGACAACCAGACAAAACAGACAGAATTAGCAGGAGCATTCAGGGAAGCAGCGTGTTCAGTTGTTTCAGGTCAGGAGCTGTTTTTGCAGATGGGATTGAGAATCACATTATCTCCTGACAAAAACAATACTCCCTGGTCAAAGTTCTGTTTCCAGGGCCCTGGACAGATGGTGCGTGAGAGGGGCTGGCCGTCTGCAAATCCACTTCTGATGGCTCTATTTCTACCCCATCATTTGAAAGACTCCTTGGAGACCAACACCCACATCATTCCCATTGTCTCCTCTCCATAATCTCTTTGCCATCTTTCTTCACCCTTCCCACTGCTATCTTCCCTTCCCATTGCCCTTGAAAAATGCAGTTGGCCTGGTTTGGCATTATTCTGTTCTGTCTTTTCTTTAGAAGGACAACAGCATTTGGTTAGAGCTCCTCTAAATAGTAACAGTGATGTGCAGACCATTGGATGAGCTGATTAGATGAGATGAGACTATTAACTTGTTTGAGTTCCCAAATGACAAGGTTGTCACTTTAGGAAAATGCTGGCCAGTGACACTGCAAACCAAGGTGTGATGCAGCAGGTGAGCATGTGTTCTGTGCCTTGACTGGGAGCCCAGGTTCCTATCAGCTCACTGAGAGTGTCCATCTCAACGCTGAAGGGACACCAGCTAAACAGAGCTCAGAAGTCTGGAGTTCCAGCAGTCTCTGGTTCTTGTCCCCTGACAAGGACCTTGTGCTTCACCTCAGCCTCATCCAGTCTTCACTGTCTGAATCCCCCAAAGATCTGGGGATACCGCCCCCTAATTGTGGTTTGCAGCCTAGCAGCTCATTAGGGAGGACTGCTGGTAGACTTTCATATTACAGGCAGACCTCACTCTATCTCACTTCCCAGATTCTGAATTTTTTAAAAGACAAAATGACCAACAGAAGGTTTGTGGCAACCCTGAGTTTATCAAGTCTCTCAGCAGTACCGTGTTCCCATAGCACATGCTGACTGTGTCTCTGGGTGATTTGGGTCATTCTCACAATTGCTGTTGTTGTGAATCTTTATGGGAGCAAACAGCATCATCTTCCTCCTGAGAAGCAGCTGGTGGGTTTGACCTGAGGCTAGCAGTCCAGGGCTTAGCCTAAGTGCAAACATAGCTTTCATATGTACTGGGAAAAAAAATGTGTGTGTGACTAACTTTATTGCATATTCACCTTATCGTGAGGGTCTGGAACGGAACCCACAAGACCACCATGGGCTGCCTGTACTTGGGTTCCACCATACCAGTCACACCTGCTACTCTGTCCTGAGCTAAAATGGTAGAGGGATGCGTCCAGCCTTAACTGTGGGCAGGCATTTAAGTTGCCTGAGCTCTATCCTCAAAATGTTAAAAAACAAAACAAAATAAGACAGGAGGTTCTTTGGAGCTCCAGGATCTTCTGCGTATGGATGTGAGGAAGACCACTACATCTCACACAGCAATGATAGGAAGAATTTGCAATCTCCCAGAACATTTCCCACAGCTCCACTTTCACTCCATCTGTCATCCTGTGGGTGTCCCTTAAAGCCAAGTCCTCACACCTTTAAAAAGAAAAGCACCTCAGTATGCATGCACAATGGAATACTTCTTGTTGTTGATAGGTACCATCTAGTTGGATCCAACTCATAGTGACCCTAGGCACAACAGAATGACACACTGCCAGGTCCTGCACCACCCTTACAATTGTTGTTATGTTTGAGTACATTGTTGCTGACACTGTATCAATCCATCTTGTTGGGGGCCTTCTTCTTGTCTCCATTTTTCCAAGCACAATGCTCATCTCCAAAGACTGGTCCCTCCTGATAGTATGTCCAAAGTATATGAGACAATGTATTGCCATCCTCATTTTTAAGGCATATTCTGGTTGGCTGTACTCTTCCAAGACAGATTTGTTTGTTCTTCTGGCTGTCCATGGTACTTTCAATATTCTTGACGAATACCATAATTCAAATGCATTGATTCTTCTAGGGTCTTCCTTATTCATCGTCCAACTTTCCTATGCATATGAGGTGGTTGAAAATATCATGGCTTGGGGTCAGGTGTACTTTAGTCCTCAAAGGGCTATCTGTGCATTTTAATATTTTAAAGAAGTCTTTTGCAGCCTATTTGTCTAAAGCAATATATCCTTTGATTTCTTGACTGCTGCTTCCATGAGTGTTGATCCAAGCAAAATGAAGTTTTTGACAACTTCACTCTTCTCCATTAGTCATGATGTTATTTATTGACCCAGTTGTGAGGATTTTTGTTTTCTTTGCATTGAGGTGCAATTCATACTGAAGGCTGTTTTTTGTTTTAATCTTCATTGTTAACATTTCAAATTTTCTTTGGTTTCAGCATACTGCAGGCTGTTAATAGTTCTCCCTCCAATTCTGGTGCCATGTTATTTTCACATAATCCAGCTTCTCAGATTATTAGTGCAACATACAGATTGAATAAGTATGGTAAAAGGACATAACCCTGGAGCACACCTTTCCTGATTTGAAACCATTCCGCGTAGCCTTGTTCTGTTTTGATAACTGCTTCTTGGTCTAGGTACAGGTTCCTCATGAGTGTAAGGAGATTTTCTCAAATACCCATTCTTCCAAATGTTATCCATAGTCTGTTGTGATCCATACAGTTGAATTCCACTGCATAGTTGACAAAGCTCAAATAAATATTTTTCTGATATTCTTCGCTTTCAAGGCAAGATCCATCTGATGTCAGTAATGATATCCCTCATTCCATGTCCTTTTCTGAATCCAGCTTGAATTTCTGACAGCTCCTAGTTGATGTGTTAAATCGTGTGTTTTAATTACCTTCAGCAAAAATTTACTTGCATGTGACATTTGTTAATGATATTGTTTGGTGATTTATGCATTCTGTTGCATCATCTTTCTTTGAAATGAGCCTAAATATGGATCTCTTTCTGTTGGTTGGCCAGGTAGCTGTCTTCTACATGTCTGGACATATGACCAGTGAGCAACTCCAGTGCTGCATCAGTGTGTTGAAACATTTCCATTGTATTCTGTGTCAATTCCTGTAGCCTTTCTTTTTGCCAATGTCTTCTGCAGCTTGGACTTTTTCCTTCAATACTGTTGGCTTTTGATCATATCATAGCTTTTGAAATGACTGGACATTAACCGATTATTTTTGGTACAGTGGCTCTGTGTATTCCTTCTATCTTCTTATGATGTCATTAAATATTTTGCACATAGAATCATTCAATATTTCAACTCAAAGCTTGAATTTTTTCTTTAGTTCTTTCAGCTTGAGAAATACTGACTGAGTGTGTTCTTCCCTTCTGATTTTCCAACTCCAGGTCAGTCACTGCACACTTCATTGTAATACTTCATTTTGTCTTTTTGATTTGCCCTTTTCGATTCAGATGTTTTCTCTATTATTTCTTCCAGTTCTTTTTGCTTCTTTATGTTCAAGAGGAAGTTTCAAAGTCTCTTCTGATATCTACTTTGGTCTTTTATTTATTTCCTATCTTTTTAATGATGTCTTTAAGTCATCCTACAACTCTTCTTGTCTTTGGTCATTAGTGGTTTAATGCATCAAATGTGTTTTTGAGAGGATCTCTAAATTCAGGTAGAATATACTCAAGGTCATAGTTCGGCTCTCATGGATTTGCTTTAATTTTCTTCAACTTCAGCTTGAGCTTGCATATGAACAATTGAAGATCTGTTCCACAGTCTGCTCCTGGCCTTGTTTTGGCTAATGATATTGAGATTCTTGATTCATCTTCTCAGTTTGATTTCTGTATATTCCATCCAGTGAGGATGGAATATTTTTTATGTTGTTGAGAAAGGTATTTGCAACAAATAAGTTGCTGGTCTTGTAAAATTCTATCATGTGATTATCAGCATCATTTCTATCACCAAGGCCATATTTTACAACCATGGATTCTTCCTCTTTGTTTTCAACTTCTGTATTCCAATAACCAATAATTATCAATGCATCTTGATTACATGTTTAATCAAAGGAAGAAATTGGTAGAATTCTTCAACTTCATCGTCGCTGGTTTTAATGGTTGGTGTGCAAATTTGAATAGCAATGATATGAACTGGTCTTCCTTGTAGGGGGATGTCTTATAATGGGCAGTATATTTCAAAATAGGTCTTGAAATGTTCTTTCTGGCAATGAATGTGACATCATTTCTCTTCAATTTGTTTTTCATCATAGAAAACAAACCATATGATTATCTGATTCAAAATGGCCAATATCAGTCCATTTCAGCTCACTAATGCCTAGGATGGAGTCCTGGTATGGTGTTGTAGGTTAATGTGTCAGACTGCAAAGCTGTTTGAATTGCAAGGTTGGTGGTTCAAGCTCACCAGCTGCTCCTTGGAAACTCTATACAAGGTTGCTATGAGTCAGAATTGACTCAACGGCACTTCACAACAACATCTGTCGCTGGAGAAGGACACCATGCTTGGTTAAGTAGAGGATCAGTGAAAATGAAGACCTCCAATGAGATGGGTTGGGTTGGAACAGTGGCAACAGCAATGGATTCAAGAGTAACAAGTGTAAGGTGGTGTAGGACCTGGCACGGTTTCATTCTGCTGTGCACAGGGTCGCTATGAGTCAGAGCCAACTCAAAAGCACCTGATAATAATAATTATTCATGGATCTTTGCAGATGTTTCTTCTCATTTTGAGTTGTTCCCCATCAGCAAATGAACATCCTGAAAGCTTAACTCCATCCACATCACTAAGGTCACCTCTCCTTGGAGAAGGCAGCTCTTCATCTGTCATCTTTTGAGTGCCTTCCAACCTGAGGGGCTCATCTTCCAGCACTACAGCTGACAATGTTTGGCTGCTATTCGTAGGGCTTTCATTAGCTAACCATTCAGAAATGATCTGACTCTCCTTCTTTTTAGTCTGTCTTAGTCTGAAAACTCCAGACAATGGAAAATCACTCAGCTATAAAGAGAATTAAAGTCCCAATGCATGACACAACCTAGATAAACCTTGAAGATGCCCTGCTGAGTGAAATAAGTCAGTCACAAAAACACAAATACTGCATGACTTCACTTGTATGAGATAAGTAAATGTACATTGTTGCTGTTAAGTGCAGTCAAGTCACTACTGACACATAGCGACCTTATATACAACAGAAGGAGACACTGACCAACCAAATGCATAGAGAAACCAAAGATGATCGGTGGTTACCAGGAGCAGAAGCGGGGAGGGAAGGAAGAGTCTTTGCTATATTTACATTGTTGGTGGCAGAACAGAAGGGGAAAATCCAGACTAAAAGCTGCTTAACATGAAGAGTGCCATCAAGGTCATTGAACTGTGCACATCGAAACAGTGGAACTGGGATGTTTTGCTGTATTTACACCATTTTAAAATGAAATGGGAGAGGAAAAGAAAACGGAAAATGAAAGACAAAATGAGTGTGTCTGGGTAGTGAGAGGAGGTGGTGAGGACTCTGTGCCCAGGCCATGGCTTGTGGAGAAGCAATCCAACACAGAGCCTGTGGAAGCTTCCAGGAAGAAGGTACCAGGTTGAAGGCAGGGGCTTTGTCTCTGCCATGTCTGGACAGGTGACCCAGGTGGTCAGCTGGTATGCAGCCACTGCTGAAAGGGCACGGGACCGAGGCCCTGGATACTCACCACTTGTCCTGGATGGCCAGGTTTTCCTGGGAAGCCAATCTCACCAGGTAAACCCTAAAAAGGAAACCTTAGTGTGAAGTTAAATCTTCCTTCGCCCTTTCCAGGTGGGCCCAGGTGTCTGGCTGTGGTATGGGTAGACCTCCCTGGGGAGATCTAGCTGTCCTCCAAGGGCTCTGGGGAGTGGAGCTTCCTGGGGCACTAAGTTCATTTCTACCCTGTAGGGAAAGTGTCATGCTCCCTCTACCTCCTGCTGGGTCTGCCCCACCTACTGGGAAAGTGTGGTCTCTAACCCCAACCACTGGACAGGTGTGGTACCTGGTCTCAACCACTAACCTTACCCAATGAACAGATGTGGTTGCTGGTCACATCCACCTGACAGGTGTGGTATCTGGCCCCGCCCCTCCCCTTGCATTCTGAGTGGGAGAGGAACAAGTTGACATCACCCTGGTCCTCTGTTTGCCTCCAAGTCCAGTCCCAGGCTACTCAGAGCCACCCCAAAAGGCAGCCTGAACCCAGCCACCTTCAGCTCTCAGACACTGCCAGAACCCCCATCAGTTCAACCACATGTCTGGTCTGAGGGGCTCTAGGGGTGGAAGCCAGGAAGACTTGGAGGGCAGGGGGAGTTGCAAGGGTGGTCCTCCTTACACAGGTTCACACTGGTCATGGAACAAACAGGGGTCTCAACATCAAAGTGTCCTTGCCACCCTCAGACCCTGAAACCCCTACCCCAGTCCCTTCCAGTCTTACCGGGGGACCTCCGGGCCCTGGGGGTCCTGGGACACCAGGCAGTCCTGGGGGACCCTGCAGAGAAAGGGCTTGGGGTAGGTTAGAAAGTACACAGATCAGTCCCTGGTAGCCTTGTGGGAAGTGGGAGGGGACTTAGTGCAGATGTGGGATTTCAGCGTTTTTCTGAATGCCTTATTTTTCAAACAGAAAAAAGCAAAAGCGAAATGAAAAAAAACCTGAAGTAAAAATTTCAAAATGTTAACATGTATCCTACTTGAATGATATATATAGCTGTGTATTTCATATTCTTTATGTATTCTGTTTTGCTATATATTTAAAATATCAAAACATTAAATATCTACATATATACTGGAGTTCCTGGTGTGGCAACGTAGGATAAACACAGGACCTCAAAGTCAGTTTGAACCACAGGGCTGGCAATCCAAACTACCAGCTGCTCCCGGGAAACCCTACAAAGGGTCTCTGAGTCAGAACCTACTCACTGGTACTTAACAACATGTATATACCTAGGGGTCCTGATTTAGCACTGTAGGATAAACACCGGACTGCTAACTGCAAGATTGACAGTTCAAACCCATCAGCTACTCCTCAGAAACTCTATACAGGTTCACTATGAATCAGAAACGATTCATCAACTGACTTTAGGCTAAGCACTGGACTTCTCACTGCTCGGTTGGCAGTTCAAACCCACCAGCAGCTCCTCAGAAACCCTATACAGGGCCGCTATGAGTCAGAACCGATTCATCAACTGACTTTAGGCTAAGCACTGGACTTTTCACTGCTCGGTTGGCAGTTCAAACCCACCAGCAGCTCCTCAGAAACCCTATACAGGGTCGCTATGAGTCAGAACCAACTTGTCAACAATTAACAATAACAATATGTTTGTTCCTAAGGGGGCCCAGGTGGTTTGGTGGTTAAACACTTGACTGAGAACGGGAAGGTCGGTGGTTGGAACCTGCCAGTCACTCCTGGAAATGAGGAAAATGAGGCAGTCTGCTTCCGTAACACTCAGCCTCATAAAGCTTCTGAGGTATTCCTGTGGGTGACAATGATTCATTTGCTTATTCATGAACGTATGTACATGCTGATTCCCAGGCAGCACAACAGCTTATGCTCAAGTTGTAATCTAAAGGTTGGCAGATAAAACCCACTCGGACTTTGCATAAGTCACCAGGAGGACCAATCCCTGGATAAGGACTTCATGCTTGTTAAAGCAGAAGGTCTGGGAAAAGTGGAAGACCCTCAGTAAGATGGACTGACACAGTGGCTACAAAAATGGGCTCAAACACAGCAACTACTCTGAGGTTGGCAAGGGCCAGGCAGGGTTTCCTTCTGTTGTACACCGGTTGACTATGAGTTGGAACCAACTCGATGGCACCATCATGAACAACAACAACATGCCCCTCGTATGGCTGGGAGTGGAAGTGGGCATTGTGAGTAAACAGAAATGTAGGACCAAGGAGCTTTCAGCATTGACTGAGGTGGTGTGGGAAAGACTCCTGCAGTCAGATATCAGCGTCATCGGGTGATAAATACCCCAATACTTAATCAAATCGCCTTAGCACAGGGAGCCCTGGGGGCATGCAGTAGTTAAGTGCTCAGCTGATAACTGAAATGTCACTGGAACCTAGCAGTGGCTTCAGGGGAGAAAAGAGCTGTGATTTACCGCCTTGAAGATTAGAGTTATGGGATAGTCCCCCTCTGTCCCTTAGCAGCAATAACAAACCTATCAGCACAGAAGACCGTGCACCTGGAGAGAAGAGGGGGAAGGGGTCCAGAGGCCCACAAGGAAGAAGACCTTCTTATTCCCTCTGCATCCTCTACTGTGACCTGCACCCTGAATTGAACCAGAACCACCGAGTAGAATAGAGCTGAGGTTTGTAGTATGTGGTCACTAGAGGGCGATGCAGTCTAAGAAATGCAGGCATGAGCTCCTCCTTGAACTGTTCTTTTTGCTTCCACTAGGGGCACACGCGAGTCAAAATTACCCAGAAAGAGAACATTGAATTTTGGGTGACACCTGTCCCTAGTTTCAAAGAGTCCCGGTGGGCACGTTGTTTGCATGCCCGACCACTAACTGAAAGGTCAGCTGTTAGAGCCTACCAACTACTCCACAGGAGAAAGATGTGTCTGTCTGTGTCCCTAAAGTAGTTGTTTATAAGTCCTATCGAGTCCTTTCTGATTTAGAGTGACCTCCCCCCGCCCATGTACAAGGAGCTCTGCTAGTGTAGTGGTTACAAATCGGGCTATGAACCTTAAGGTCAGCAGTTCGAAACTACCAGCTTCTCCGAGGGAGAAAGATGAGGCTTTCTGCTCCCATAAAGATTTACAGCCTCGGAAACCCTGTACAGGGTCGCTACGGGTCAGAACCGACTCCACAGCACATAACAACAACAACAATGTACAAGGAGCTCTGGTAGCGGTAGCATAGTGATTACGAATTGGGCTGCTAACCTCAAGGTGGGCAGTTTGAAACTACCAGCTGTTCCGCAGGAGAAAGATGAGGCTTTGTGCTCCGGTAAAGATTTGCAGCATCGGAAACCCTGTGCAGGGTAACTATGAGTAGGAACAGACTCCATTGTACTTAACAACAACAACATGTACAACAGAGGGGAACACTGCCCGGTCCTGTGCCATCCTCACAGTTGTTGCTATATTTGAGCCTACCGTTGCAGCCACTGTGTTACTCCATCTCCCTGGGGATTTTCCTCTTTTTCACTGACCCTCTACTTTGCCCAGCCTGATGTCCTTCTCTAGGAACAGGTCTCTCCTGAGAAGTTATCTAAAGCAGGTGAGAGGGAGTCTCACCATTCTCGTTTCTAAGGAGCATCCCTTAGCACTCTGTCCTATAGGGTTACTGTGAGTCAGAACTAACTCACCAGCAACAGGTTTAGGTGGGCACCTAGTTTCCTCTGAAGATTGACCTGATGAGTCCGTGGAGCAGCATCTTCCCTGGCCTGAGACATTTGCTTTCTTCTCCTGAGCACCTGAAGCACCAAGAAGAGCTGGCAGAGAGCTGGGCAAGTATTAACCCAGGTCCACCCAGTGGGTCATCCTTAAGTAATGGGTGGTAGAAAGAGCATGATGCTATTGTTGCAAATGCCCTGCGGTTACACTGCCAGAAACCACCACTCTAGAAACAAGTTTCACCCCACTCCCAGTCCCATAGACTTCCCCAAGGCTCTCTCACTGCACACAGCATTGTCTTGGATAGCTGTGGGGAGTGGGGGTGGGGTGGGTTCTTTTGCTTCCATGTCCTTCCATTCTCAAAGATAATGACAAGGTCCAGTGCTGCTCAGTTGTGCTGGACATCTAACCTTTTTATCTATGACTCTGACTAGTTTTTCAATCTTTTCTTAACTTTTTATTGAGAATTGAATGAAGATTTACAGACAAGATCATCAATTTAACATTCAACAAATCAGACGTTTGTTGTATCTCAATGATGACAATTTCCTCCCTGCAATAACAGTTCTCCTGCTTCCTCCCTGTGGTCCCTGTCTCCATTCCATCCACCTTCCCATCCCTTCTCAACTTTCACATTAGGAAAATGTTGCCCTTTTGATTGTCAATGTTTGATCTTTCCGTGGTGAGCATACCTTGCTAGTGTTTTTGTCTCCTCCTACAAACCTATCTGACAATGTTTCTCTGCTATGCATAGAGCTTTCATAGGATCGTAGAAGAATTGATGCCTTTGAGTTGTGGTGTTGGAGGAGAATACTGAGGGTGCCATGGACTGCCAAAAGAACCAATAGATCTGTTTTGGAAGAAGCGCAGCCAGAGTCCTCCTTGGAGGCCAGGATGGCTAAGCTTCGTCTCTCCTACTTTGGACATGTAGTCCGGAGGAAACAATCGTTGGAGAAGGATGTCATGCTGGGTAGGGTGGAGGGTCAGAGAAAAAGAGGAAGACCTCCAACGAGATGGATCGGCCAGGTGGCATCATTGATGGACTCGGGGGTGGCAGCGTTGGTGAGGTTGGCCCAGGATCGAGCATTGTTTCGTTCTGCTGTGCATGGGGTCGCTATGAGTCGGTTCCGACTTGATGGCACATGACAACAACAACAACAACAAACCTATCTACTGCTTGGCTGAAAATTGGGCTGTGAGGGTGTTTCTTTCCAGACATGGTCGAGGACCATAGTCCTAGGTTCCTCCAATCTCATTCTGACCAGTAACGTTGGTCTCTCTTATTTATTTATTAAATAATTTTGAGTTCTGTTCCACATCATATCCCACTCTATCCAGGACCCTCTAACATGATCCCCCCTTTCAGAGCAGTTAGAGGCGGTAGCTGGGCAGTTTAGTTCTTCTGGTCTCAGAGTCATGATGTTCACATGTTCCATTAGTCCACTGAACTTGAATCCAAGCCTGTTCAATTCTTTTCTGTTTCTCAACTTTTTGTTGTGAACTGAGTGAATGTTTACAGAGCATATCATCAGTTTTATATCCAACAAAGCATATAGACTTTGCTTCATTACACGGTTGCAACCCCCTCCATGTACCAACATTTAACAGCATTTACCTCTGTTCACTTTAACGATGGCATTCCTTCCTGTGTCTTCTGCTACCTTTTTCTGCTTCCTCTTTCCTCTGCTCACCTCCCTCTTGTTGTATATTGCCTGCCCTGTTACCCATGTTAACATGTGTCTATCCTCTAGCCAGTGAATGATTTTCCCTCCAATCACACCCTCTGACCATCATAGATTGTTCTTTTATCAAAAAAAAGCATTTTTTTTAACTTCCTAAAGCATTAGTCTCACACGACATTTGTCTTTTTGTAATTGACTGATTTCTTTCAGCATAATGTCCTCCAGGTTCAAGCATGTTGTGAGATGTTTCACAGATTTATCAGTATTCTTCAATGTTTGTAGTATTTTGTTGTGTGTACGTACCAAAGTTTGTTCAACTGTTCTTCTGTTGATGGGTATTTAGGCTGTCTCCATCTTTTTGGTATGTCTCTTGTAGACAGCATACGGAAGGATCCTGTTTTTGTACCCATTCTGCTCTCTATATCTTTTGATTGTACCTTTAATCCATTTACATTCAGTGTAATT